GGAAAAAAAAAAAAGAAAAAATTGTATCCAGCTTCAAATTGGTCCCGTGAGCTCTCGGTAAAATAATGTTCTAGTCCATGTTATGGAAGCCTGGAAGCAAGGAAGTAATGAAGCCAAAGACTATCATCTGGATTTCCTTCACCACTCCCCACCAGTTGAGACCACCATTTCCAGCACCAGGCTCTGCCACATTCTCATTTTCAACAGCTCGGTTCCCTTCATTTGCAGGTTGATTCTCAATCTCTGCTCCCGGTTGTCCCTCTGCCATTTTTTGAAAGAAATTTTCGTAAAACTTGGCGACTTTATAGATCAATAAAGACCCAATTGTGATCTATAAAACCGTTGATTAATTAAATCTTGCAATAGAATATTTAATAAGAGGCTTATTTCCTTGGCTTAAGACCTCATTATGAACTCAGCCAAAATTGCTAGTTTTGAAATATGCAATCAATCAAAATGGTACCTGCAAAAGCAACATTCGGAGCCTCTTGCCTTGCAGCTGGAGGAGCTACTGGGGCATTCTCTGCCCTAACTGCTGGCCTCGGGGGAGGTGCAGCTGCCCTTTGCATACCCTGTGAAAGCCATCGTATCAATGGTGTCAATGCTCCAGTTTGATATCTGTGACATATCCAAGAGTGGGTCAGCTCGATACAACTTCACTAATGTAGAGACAGTAAAGGTCAATTGAGACTTGGGAGGAGCATATAACATTTGTAACCATATTCGTCAAACACTTCCATTAAGTAATACGGTAACCTATTAAAGGGTAAAAGCAAAAGGTTGGCCATTTAACATTATGTTTATCAGAAGTTCAATCTAATACTTACAGATAGACTAGTAATAGTTACATCCATAACAGATACGTGCAAATAGAGTTTCAACTAGCAATAGTTACAGATTAAGAATGCTTACAGATAGACCAGTGAAGCACAAATCACCAGAACAATAAGCCTTTGTCTCGAACCATCTTGGTGAACAAGAAAAATTACAGCAGCGAGCTTCAATATGAGCAACAAATCAATCTGTATGGCAATTTGAAACCTTCTAACAACGACTTGTCTTTGAGGTGCAGGTTGCTGCTGTTGCTGCGGCTGTTGTCCTTCTACCTGCCTGCTCTCCTCAGCTGCCCCACCCTCAGGACTTGTTCTATTGCTGGAATCAGATCTACTAGAATTAAAAATAAAAGATATCTCAACACACTTTGACAAAATCTCCGGTTCCAAGTAAATAAATCAGCACATCGAAAATCAGCTAATTGAAAATTACAAATGAAATTTGACGAAAAGGTTAAACTTGTCATGCATTTTGTTGAAGTGAGGAGATGGGAGGTTGACATTCAAAATGATACATGATGTGTCGTTGCTGGGCATTATATCAAAACTTGGAAAAATGTTTCCATTAAAAATTGTTGACTCGAGCATCATAAAAGTAGCTTGTACAGAACACATGAAATTTACATGAAAAAAATAATCAAACATTACTTTGGAAATCGATCATTTTCTCAAACTAGGAGCAGAAGCTTTTCGAATTAATGCCCACTGTCAGGGATTAAGTCAAGTATGTCAACATGGAATAAAAGATGTAGAGAGATCTCAAATATCAGAAAGTTAAAACTTCTAAATAAGGACCCACCCGCTTCATTGTTGTTAACCATAAGAATATAAAAACAAATCCATTCATAAGTTTTTCTCGTCTATATTTCCCATTTCTCACCGATTCTACGTTTTTCTATGTTTTAGGCTAGAGGACCATTCTGATGACATATAATTCAAAAACACACAAATCTCGAAATATATGGAAAAATACGTATTACCATATCTAGCCAGCACAGAAATTACTCTTGAAGCCCGTTTGTACAGCAGAAGTTATGGAACTACAAACTTTTTCCTCTTTTCTGGCAAGTCTATTAATTTTTGTAGACAACAGCCTGATGGGGATAATACTACAACCCCCCACAGAAGATGGACAAAGTGCAACGAGAAGCTCTCCTAGATATTATGTACCCTTTCTAGTTGTGGGGCACATAGGTAAGTTTCTTAAAAATAACAACTTCCCCAAGATGCTGCCATTCACCCAATCTTCTCACAACTAAAATTGGCTCAAGGAAGTACACCTCAGCCCTCTCGTTACCCTCCAAACTCCAAAGATGGAACTAAATCTGATCCTTCAATAATGTTATTGTTACGTCTCACCCTCATCTAAACCAACCTCGGAAACTGCAAAGTGGTAATTCAACGGAAGCTACAATTGACAGAAGAGGCTACTTGGGAGGCTTATCATTTGTGTCAGTTTCCCAATTTCCTCTTCGAGGACAAGGTGAATACTTGGGCAAGAGGTATGAATGAGAACAATGCCAAGCCCGATTTATTTCACTTATGTAGAAGGTAGACGATGCAACTAGTTAGAGTTTTTATGTGCTCATGTGAGGAGGAGTCGGGGGTCAATAAATCATTTTATAAGAGAGACAAATTTCAAGTCTGTCAGAGAGAAGGGTGTTATACCTAATACAGAGTAATCACTTAAACTAGAATGCTGCCGTCTACTTAGAAGTAAAGCTAGAGAGAGTAGTAAGGGAGATTAACAAACCTCTTGAATGTATAGGTCGCTTGTAACTAATTCATCGAATCAATACAAAAATCAATGCCAATTTTTTCTGCTCTATCAAAGCCATAATGAAATATCAAAATGTCCTTCCATAAACTATTTTAAATCATTTTATAGAATAATGATAGAGATACTGACGTGGGTGTGCTGTAAGTCAAAGGAATAAGATTGCCAGTTGACATTCCAATAATGGGGCCCCCTACTGATGGAAAAGTAGGAACTGCATAAATACCAGCTCCATGATTTTGATTTTCTGCAAGAGCTGATCCAGGAACTAGAGCGGGATACATTATTGGAATCATTTGCACATCACCATTTGGAAAAGTGGGGAAACCGGAAAATTTTGGAACCTGAAGTCGAGGTAAGAAATTTAGAAAGAATTAAGTCTCTCCTAATAAAAAGCGTAAACCAGTAATCAGAAATTTAAAAAATAACCATTTTCATGAGCAGTTTCTTCTAAATTCAGATTGCTAGAAACGAATCAAGAAAAGGCTTTTTAACCAGAAATGTTAAATTATAAACAGCACCATGACACAAGCTGACGGAAAAAGTTTCAATGGAACTACATGTATTTTGACTTAATATTATCTATCATCATCATTCTGTTAGCACTAGTATAGAGATTATGCCTTTTTGTTTGATAGGCTTTCACAGAAATGAATTGACCTCTCTGCTGTATCATTTTTTCTTTGTCACAAATTAATAAGTTCGCCCATATTATTTATCTTCTTCCTAGCTCACCACCATTTGGTATCAAAGCAAAGGTCTGGCTTGGACTGATCCCTTTGACAGTGGTGAACTTCGTGATGCGATCAATATTTAGCAACATCTTTATCCAAAAAATAGAAAGTGTTAGTTGGTCAAGTAGAAACTCTAAATAGAAAATCGAAGGATTTATCTCAGCAAATTGCCAAAAGCCAAGAAAACACTCTACCACCATAGCCCTTCTAAGTCCATACTGTAACAACTCAATGCATAATTTGCAGAAGCCAAAATTCAATTCGTTTCGGTGCAACCATCAAACTGTCCTGTTGATTTCAGAACATTCCTAAACACCTCTCAGTTAACATAATTCACAAGAGGACAGGACATGGATATTTATGAATGTCACCAAACCTTCAAGAATTTCTACAGGACTCACCCAACTCGTCTTCTTTATCCATATTGAAAAAGCAATATGCAACAACATACAAGAGACATCGTGCCCCACAATTTAAACGTTTCCGAAGCTTTTGGCCCTCCGACGGCCCATTGTGAAGGAAATCGTTCTCCCATAAACCATTTCCTCTAAATTACAAACGTATAGGTAGAACGCCGAAATTTACACGTTTCCCATATTCAATTCAAAAGCTACTCCAATAGAGGTGTCAAGAGAAACATAGATTAATACATAAAAAGCACCATTAGCAGGTCAAATGAAAAGGTCACCAAAACCCTAAGGAAGAATATTAAAAGGAACCCTCTAGAAAACACAATGAAGAAAAGGGAAAATCGCCTGAAATTGAAATTCCCGGGTAGAACTGGGATAAAATCAACCTAAAATGGAATTAAAACTTGTAAAACCTGGGTCTGCTTAAGATCACCATCCTGCAATTTGGGAGTAGAAGAGGATTGAGAGCTTGAAGGGATCGCTTCCGGTGCTTCCGCCATTGGAAGTCTCTCAAATCAAATCAAATCAAATCAAATTCCTGTTTGCAGCACACTCTCTTCAAACAACAAAATTAAGAATTCACAATCGTTTTGCGTCGAAACTAATGGAGGGAGAATAGGCAGTGGCTTTATTGTGCAACATTCGTGTCTTCGCCAATCAAAATGCGCCACGTCATCATTATATTTTTCCCTTTTTATTTTTAGAACTTACCATCGTTGGTTAAGTTTATACTAATGAAATAACAATATTATTTTTTTCAATTCAGCACATAAATATTTTTCAATGAATATTATTTCTCATCAGAAAATGTTTAAATTAACAAGTCGGTATAATATTAGAAATAAATTTTATAATCCTTCATCTTTCTAAATTTATGTCAATTTACTGAGTATCCTGAGTTAACTTATCACTAGTCAAATTTAAAATTCATCAAGAAGGTATAATTCTCAAGACATAAGAAGCTAAATTTAAATCTTTAAGAAAATAAAGACTATATTGAAAAAACAAAAAAGAGAGTAAGCATTATTTCTTCCGTATTTCCCCATTTCTCGTTGACCCACTCACCAAAAACACATAGAATTGCCTTATGCCTCACGATCCAGTTCACTTATATACCAACATAGTTGACATTAATACCCATATGATTGTCATTGATGTTAATAAGTGAAGAGTCGAAACTAATATCAAATTCCACAATCTTAAAATGAATCTTTCCCCATCTAAAGCTAGTTATGGGAGATCCATATACCCGGGGCGGAAAGAGTCACCATTAAAATCGAAGTACAGGAAAAAGAAATTACAACTCTGTAAAGCATAGGACCAAATTGACACAGTGAATAAGGTACAAAATGAGAACGATAATTTAGCCTTTCAACTGTTTGTCAGTCAAGAAAAGGAAAACAAAGAACAGTTGTAGATATGAATCCAGTTCTAAAATCTCGTTGACCTGCCTTCAACCAAACCAAAGTAAATAAAAGCATGGCAATTGTGTAGTCCCAAACAGATACAACATCCTTCCTTCCATAGAACAGTGCAGGAGAGGCAGTTTATAAATGTTCTAGCAGCACATAAACTAATTATATCCCAAATATCGATAGCATAACAGTCTGTAGCATTCAGAAAAATATTACAACCATAAATTGCTTAGATTGATATTCAGGCACTTGAAAAGGAAAACAATGTATCAGTTACTTTATACATAGATAAGGAAGAGTTTTTATTGTGGCTGTGCATAGATTTGATAGGATAGGGGTGGAGGGGATATGACAAGATCCTGATAATTCACCTCAATTAAATAACAAGCTGGTGAATTTGGAGATCCTAAAGTAATCAGTTCAAAAACAACGAAGCGTAAATAACCAGTAGTCTAGGGAGGGGGTGCAGAGTGGGCTTTGAATAGACAGGGCAGGCGAGACGAAGCTCAAACCGTCTGTAGAGCATCCCATTTCTCTCCGACCTCTCATCACCATCACTTTCCACTCTATTCATTCTTCCAAAGCTCCGACAACCATCTATCAATCCTGCACAGACGAACCATATAAAATAAGAATGGTGAATTTGCTTTCTAGACCATGTGATTGCATCATATATGAGATACTTGGATAACTGAGATGAAGTAAAATAATGTCAAATTTACTTACCCAACTGCAATAGTGGGCGAGGTATGAGGTTCATGTCACTCATTCCTCGCGTTGGTTTGAGTTATCTGTACTTTTTGGTGCCTTCACGTCAATCTCCAACTCCACCTCATTTGTGGTTTCCAACTCAGTGTCTACCGGAGCCAATCGAGTTGATCCAGAGATAGACTCTACATTCAAGTACAATTTCCATCACTAAATCAATATAGACAGTATAAAAAGTTGGCAGACGTTCAAACAGAAATTCTTAGAATTTTTAATCAATCTAACTGCCAAAACAGATGCAAATATTTTCACTCGAATCCCCATCCATCAAATATTTTTAATCAATTTAATAGATTCATTGACTCGAACATATTCTTATGTTGATCACTATGTTTAACAAATTAAAGTTATGATTTTGAAGCTCTAATCAAATCCAACATTCAACACACAACATTTGTAACATAGCCAACCATAATGAATGCATTTTTTTTAAATAAAAAAACCGCTCTTGTATTTTTGTTGCTCAGAACATTCTTTCATATCCAACAAATACAATTGTTGGGACAAGAAAAAATGTATTCGTTCCCATAAATACAAAATTGGAAGGTAAGCAATACAACCCCACAGCAAGTCAAAAGGATTACAAAAAGGAAAAGAGAAATCAGTTGGCCTGAATAGTGAGTAGTAGAGGGAGAATGATTGAATAAAAGGTTTCACAAAGCACACTACCTAAAAGCATGGAAAAAATATCTATCGAACACCTTGATAAAGTCTTAGATCTCACTACAAGTATTCTATTTCCTTCAGATCAGATAAATCATGAAATAGCCATAGGCCCATAACTAGATTAAACCAAATGAACCAATGCAGACAATTATCTTTATGATTATGTACCCAGATCTCAAACCAGCCACCCAAATCAGGTCTGGTAACATGTATCTTACTTAACTTATTCCTTATACAAGAGCTGCCTATGTAGAATAGCTAAGAGAGAGAAACAGGAAATAGAGAAACTACAGTTAGACAAAGATGAAGAGACAGAGAAAGGCAACAGATCAAGAACGGGGAAGGGTTATAACAGATGACTAGGCTTTATATCATGAACCGAAACATTTCAATCTTAAAGAAAACAGGGAAGAAGAATAAAGATAACAACAATATCTGTTCTAATACTTATATGCCCTCTACAAGTATAACTAGAATTTAGAATAGTTAATGTGATCTTATCAAAAAAAGAATAGTTTATGTAATTTAGTGATACCTACTGAACTGCAATCTTGATGTCATTCAGAAGAATCAGAACATTACCCTCAGTCATCTGAAATTTCAAATTACTCTTAACAAGTCGAGACAACTTAATCATCCAACCAGTAACCAATTGACAAAACCATAAGCATATTATACAGTATACCCTTGCATATTTTACATCCAAGTGGAACTGCAGAGCATGATTCTGATTTACAAGTTCAGCTAAAATGTAAAGACAGTACAATAATACATTTTAAAGGGGCTTTTAAACGTTATATTACTGATCACATACACTTAACCATTGTGGTTTAGGTCTTGTCATGATACTAACTTCCTTTTCCTGGAATTCTATTAAGTACTTGCTTGAATAATACTCCGTGAAAACTCATTCATGAACAGAAACTTTTAATAAATAAACGAAACCCCATTGTAGGCGTAGACTTCTACAGCGCAGTTTCAGAAGCTATAAAACACAAGAACAACTCCTCGACATAAACAAAACAACCAACGCTTTTATGGCCAACCGAGCTACTGCATTGTAAACCCTAAAACAAGAGAACATGAAACCTGCTCCCTAATTGGTGTCATTCGAATTAGAACGGCTGAACCCCTCAAATAAAGCCATTACAAGCATCACCCCATATGCAACCTATGAAGCAGTAGCATTATCCATTTGAACTAAAAGATGGCCGATTTACAACTTCAATTCAGAAGAACTTCCAAAATTTCCATCCCTGTGAAATAAGGCCAAATAACCGAAATTTCCAAGACTGCAAACTCTTCTCAGTCTGTTCACATAATTATAGCACAAGCGACAGGACTAATAAGGCCAACCCACATTTTCAATTATCCTTTTCCGCATAAATCAACAGCCAAATAAACATCAATCGATTAACACGACGAGATCGGTAAAAAATATATATATATACACACAATTTAAATATACCTTTAGCGAAAAATTCTAAACAGGGCCAACCACGGGCGTTAGCAAGGGAGGGAGACTCCTCTTTGGTGAGTGGTTCAACCAATTTATCGAACAGGTCGACCACCTTGCGTGGCTTGTTACGGCGAGGAGGAACCCAAAAAGACGAACCCGGTACAAAGGGAATCCAATCAGGAGTCGATCGCTCGACAATAATCTTCTGCACAAAGTCGTCCAGCTTCCTGATCGCTAGAATATCGGAATCACCGCCGAAAGAGGACGATTCGAGGTCAATCTCGATGAATTTGACCTTGCCAGAACGCGTAGATCGGTTCCGATGACCCAGGGCAAAGGAAGAAGGAATCAACAACGACAATCTGAAGGGGGAAGATTGAAACTTGGAGCAGAGAAGGGATTGGGAGAGAGCCAGAATTCGTGCCATGCGAAAAAACCTGATGAAATTAAATTTGAGGCGGTATAAATCAACGAGTACCCTTTACCCTTTACCCTTTAGCTATGGATGTGGCCGTGGGAGCGCGACTCTGTTTCGGCGAGACGAGAAATCTGGGAAAATAAAATTTCCTTTTTTTGTCTGATATATATTTGTAAAATTATCTGAGAGAAAAATATACATGTGTGTGTATATATATATTTATTTATTTATAATTTTCTGGAAAATAATTAATAAGTAGTGAATTTACGGTGCGTGTTTGGCGGTGGGGGTATAATTAATGATAATTAAAATATAAATTTTAGTTGTAAAATGTCAAAACTAGAATTTGCTATTTCCATTTGATTTCTTAAATATTACATCACTATATTAATAGTGAGCATCAATTTTTTTTCTTTTTTGATTGTGTGTGCGTCTAATTATCAATTTAAGTTGTATTTTTCTAAAAAAAAATTGCTTCTCTCTACACTTTATCTATTTATGAAATAGTTGCATGTTTCACAAATTTCTTATTGTTTTTATAATGTAATTGCAAATATGTGTTTCTTTCCTTGTTAAAACCAACGAGATAAAAATATAATTTTTTAGATCGACATCAAGTGAGATGAAAATTCAGACTTTTTAGTCGATGATTTAGTTATGTTCATGTTAAGACGACTATAAACTAATTTAGATGCTCATGATGTACTTTGTACATTATTTGAATGAATTATATTTAATGAAATATGATAAAATCTACCAACATGTTACTATTTTCATAAAATCGAAAGATTTGACGTTAAAAATGACTGTATATTAATACAACCTATTTAAAAAATATGAAATACATATTATTAATTCAAGTAAGTACTAAAAGTATTTTGGTTCCAAGGAAACAAAAGTCTAATTTTCTTACCTTCTATAAATTTTCTAAAAATATTGGTCAATATCCCCATTGTACGGATATCAAGACTATACATTTTTATTAGTGTTTCTTCAAAAAAACACTTTTATTATTGATTATTTGAAAAAATATATATTATTGATAATTTAATCCTAAAAGAAAAATCCTAGATCTAATGTAATTGACCAAGAGTCGTTGCATACGTGTACGACTGATTTAGTCCCAAATGGGGGAGGCTTGACCCTATATCGGATAAACATCTGTTGATACATGGACCGTTCGATCGAAAAGTGGGACCAGATTAACTTAAACGGTCACGATTAAAATGCCATCCATTCTAATGTGACCGAGGGGAATTTCTGTAGCATCTTCTTTCGTTTATCGTTCTGTCGCCCGTATCAACGCCTGTTCCCAAGTTTCGATCCCGATCTTGTATTTTAGGGTTAGGGTTTGGTTTTCTCTGCAAATTGAGGCAGAGATGGCGATGAAGCAATTCTTCTCCGAAATCAAGGGCTTGAAGGTTAAGGAGCTGCCCGGCCACGTGAAGCCGATGCTTTCCATTGACTACATTAAGAAGGCAGTGGAGAGAGGTCTCGACAATTACAACGCCAAGTACATTCAGACCGGCTCTATTGACCCTCTGTTACATGTCTGCTTTGGCGGTATGGTATTTTCCTACCTCGTTGCCCTCCCTGAGGAACGACGACACCTTGCACACCAGCAACACGCCAAAGAGCATGGTGGCCACTGATCGAGTTCTCTATCTTTTGAGGTACGGGTCCAAAGGTGGAGTATTTGTCTCAGTTTGCATTGGATTGAGCCATTAGGATTATATAGCCAAGTCGTGCTCTATGTTTGGTTATTTTCGGATTGATCAACTAGGGTTCAATTCGTGTATCTATTGAAATGGGGTTTTGTGTTCTAAACTTCGAATTTTATCCGATCGGTGGAATCTGTTTCCCCTTTCCATTGTCATCACCCGTGTGAACCAAGCCTGGATTCCGAGAAATCGAGTTTTTTCCAGTATTACCTATTTATTTTCATTTTCTCAGATTTGACCCGTACATCATTAAAGTTATTATTATTATTGTGCTGCTTTGAGTCATTGCTGGTGCTTGAATGATCTATTTCTGTTATGATCAATCGAATGTGTTTCTCACGGGTTCTTTTAATTTCAAGAGAGCATTCAGCATATGATACTTGTACCGAAGTTTTTGCTTGTGAGAACTTCCATGTGTCTATGTTGCCCTCTTCTTCTTGATTTGGGAAAAAAGGAATTAGAGTTGAAGAATGCACAATGTACGTGTTATTTTACACCCCTTGAAGAAACCGGATCCAAAAAAGGATTTATCCCCTTTGTTAGTTTTCATTTTCTTCTCTTGTTTACATTACAACTTACTGAACCCATTTTCAGTAACATGTCTAAGGGTATGCATAACTACCATAATAAGTAGAACCTCAAGAAAAATACTGGTACGCAAAATGTATTTGTTGGTCTGTGGTATTTCCTAAGAATTAAGTTACGTAGTTTACCTTGCAGCCTTTTCATTCCTTTTTTGATATATGTTGAGATCACTTATCTTTAGTTCTTTGGTTGCTTAAAAGGTAAGGGTTGAGGAGATAATAGAGTGTCAGAAAGAGCATGATAAGAAGTATTTAGAGGAAACCTAAGGGAGAAAAATATCCATTCCATGCTAGATGTTCGTAGTATAGGTTACCTTGCCAGATTTTAAGTCTTCTTTCTTTGCATTCTGAGAAATAACTGCAGATCGATGAATAACCTAATGGATTGCGAGTCTGGGCTTGTATTGATCAATCTTCGCCCAATGTAACTTACTTGGTCTAGTTGATTCTATAACTATGTAATATGGCAACCTCCCCTTGGCAAGGTAATTGCAGGTTTCTGAATCTTGCATACAGTTGCTTCTTATATATATATTGCATATACTTATGCATTGGAATTTGGAATTGTATGATGCTGGAGTTTAGTCGCACATGTATTTTTAAATTTAACCTTGCCCTTTCTTTATTTGTTTTTGTTATTTTTGCAGGGTTAAGGTGCCTCAAAGGTGTTTCTGGTCAATAATTTGTTTCCCGAGTGTTTTTGTATCTTGGTCTTACTGGCTGAAACTTGCTATTTTCTTTTACACATGAGGAAATAAACAACAGACTTTTCTTTGAGTTTTGAACCATCAATGGCGACCATCGCTGATTCGCAACCCGAGTTCATGTTTGTATTTTCATTTACTTTCTTGCACATGATATTGTTCTATGCTCACTTCTCTGGTTAATTTAATTCTTTGTCAAAATGCAAATTGATGTTGATCAAATGCTTGAGTACTATGATAATACCTTTTCCTTTATTCAGTCAGGTATGATCAATTTGAAACACTTTGAAGCAGCCAATTTCTGAAATTGAACGACTCACAAAATTTTTGCTACTGCTGACAAAATGTTTATGTTAATAGACATTATAAGTCAACATGCAAAAACCAAATTATTTGAGTTAACAAATTAAATGAGTTGCATTTCAACACTATTTGTATTTATACTCTATAATGTTGTTGGTGGTAATGCAGAATGTTAGTCAACATTTTACTTTCAAGGCCAAAGCTGTGAAGGTCTCTTCCACAATTTTGTGAATTTCTCGTTACTCTTTTTGGCTGGTGTCATTAGCTGAGTCGAAAACTGTACAAGTGGTGTGATTTTTAATGAAAGTGTCCTATTTTTCAAAAATAATAATAATGTAGATTTGTTAAAATTATTCCAATTACTTTGCAATGAAAAAGAAACGACTACATTTTCTTTATGTAACTACTAACTATCCTTGTAAACAAATTTTGTTATCTTACCCTAACAAATTCTTAATAGGTTGTCTTTTATTTGATTTGATGGGTAATTTTAAATGATTATACAATTAATTTGCCTTCTAATAAGATTCGATTTGTTGTTGAAGGAGAAATTAGGCAAAAATAACAGAATTTCAATTGGTATTCTCTTATTAATTATCAAGTGTATGGCCCCTCCAAATTAGGTGAAGTAAATCTTATTTATTTGGAAAATAATTTTCAAGTGACTATAAACGACTCAAAACTTCATGATACCATATGTTATATATAATAAACAAGTTTGTATTAAATGTAAATTATATTTGATTTTAGAGCTGGTAAAATGAATGAATTACTCCATCGAATTTCCTTTCTTCCTATAGGTAGAAAATTATTTAAATAAGTTTCAAGTCTATCCGGTAAGATTGGTCCAGTTGTGCATAAGTCGACTTGGACAGTCACGAATATATAAAAAAAAAATCAAATATAATCTGTCAAAAGTATTTTTAATTTTTTTTTACAAATTTATCTTTAATTATATATATATTTTTTATCAAATGTATTCATTTTGAGAAATATGATAATAATGTTCCCAACAAAAAAGAAAATACTGCATCATTCCTTCACAGAAAGGTTTGTTTTTCACCACACGATAAAGGGATCAAACAAGTCTCGTACCCAAAATTTATCTCAAGTTCATAAAAAAATGAGAGCAATTCCAAGCACTTTGCTTAGAAATTTACTTCAATTTGAACTAGTAATTCTCACATGTTATTTACTAGACAAATTGTTGAACAATCGTTTTATTTAGTATTTCACAATCATTTTTATTTCAATAGTATGTAAATCAATCATTCTCGGAAGTCATTCATTGGAACATTAGATCCATTTTAGTACGGATCATTTCATCACAGAGTCCGTGGATGAACAATTGATGATATACAGAGAAATTCGGGGTGTTGCTTATGGTGTATGTTTAATGTTTTGGTTGGTGTCGAGTCAATTCCGGACTGAGTTTCCAAGTTCAGAGATCACAGAGCAGAGGCACAGACAGAGAGCGGTGACCATTGGTATCAATAGAAAAACTGAGGCGGCTACTGATAAATGCAGCATAAATCCAAGACCAGAAGTTTGACGCTTGAAATTTCGGACCCAAATCATTGATTTGAAGAACCATCTTCTTACTTGCCATTAGTTCCTGTAACTTCATTTTCATTCCGTGTGCTGCAGTAAATTATGGCTGTCAGATCATTCAATTTGAAGATCCCCTTTGTATTTCCCAATCTTTTCGAGGTATCCTTATTTTCTTGAATTTTCTCCCAATGTTTCATCATGTTCCATAATGTGTTTATCGACTTCTATTTGTATCTCGGGGGTCTACCTGAAGATTTATGTCATGTAGATAAATTGTTTGATTGATTTATTGGGGATTTCGGGCTAACTGGTTTCTGGGTATCTGTTGATGTGGTCTATTTCGGATCACAAGTGACTTGATCTTTCAGATAGTTTTCGACCGTTAGCCATATTTGATGATCATTGATGATAGATTCTTAAATCAAGTTACTCTACGTTCCCCTAATTTATTTGGAAGTATATAATTTCTATTGTGGGGATCAATGTAGTTTTCCTCAAGAACTCACTATCTTGACTCACGTTGTCGTTGGTTGATAATATGGCATTTTCTGTAAAAATGCACGAAGGAGCTTGATTCACGTTTTCTGGATATATGCCGTGGATGAAGGAAAAAAAAGACGGTCTTTGAATCAGCTGCTTGTTTCTTTGAGTTTTCGTATCTGACTCTCCAATTTTTTAATTTAAAGCAACTTTGTAATGGGTAATTTTTTTTTTAATTCCTTCTATTGGTGAAGATTGTTGTTATATTCCAACTGAAGTGGCCCTTTTTGTTTACAAATTGAACTTCATCGTTCACAGAGGTAGGCTGCGTATGGTAGTCTAGTCATCAGCATACTTTATTCTATCTCCTATATGAGCTTAAGAAAATTTAGCTATTTTGTACACTTCAATCTAGTCTAATTATATTCAAAGACATGTTTGTTTATGATGTGCTTATAAAACATCTATATACTAGTCGATACTAATAGTCGAGTTGCACAGGGAATGGTGGATAATGCTCTTCTCTTCAGAAACATGGAAATGTTATTTTTCTGTAATAGGAATCGGTTTGTTATTCGTTGAACAAAGATCTGGATTTCTGCTGTTGGATTTGTCTTATAACAAAAGAAGCACTTTTATTCATCTTTCTTAAATTACAAAGAGAACTCTAGGCTTGAGTGGTACTGGGGGCCGTACATTCTCTCTTTTATAAACTATCCATATTCATGCTGTGAAGATTGATCTGTTTCATAGTTCCCTGTGTAGTTACACTTGAAGTCACTGTTGTCAGATTTATTGTGCAAATTCTGTATGAGAGTACATTGAAGATCAATATGAGAGGTGCTGGAAGGAAATTGATCCATAAGGAATCCGGCAAATGTTCACACTCTAAGTTGGAAGCTGGATCAGAGCTAATCTTATCTCCAAAGTTGAAAAGGTGTAGTAAAATATACCATTCCAAACAGAAAAAACCAAGAACTAAATCACATGCACAGCCGACTGGTTCAACATACAAAAGGAGACCTCTTCCTAAAGCCTTGAGCAAGGGGAATAAAAATGTGACAATTAGACAGTTGGCTGGTAAAAAATTTCTCTTAAAGAAACTTGATACAAAGTCTTCCAAGGATTTATTTTTGTCAAGGCTTCAAGGTGGAAAATCCCTGTCATCAACTAATTTGAAAGGGAATGCAGAAAAGGTTGAGCAAGTGGCTAAGAAAAACCAACAAAGGAAAAGGAGGAAGAACAAAAGAAAGAGGGAAAAATTGGAGTTAGATGAAGCTTCTCGCTTACAGAGGAGATCAAGATACCTTATGATTAAGATGAAGCTTGAGCAGAACCTTATTGATGCTTACTCTGGAGAAGGTTGGAAGGGCCACAGGTATGAAATATTATTTCAATTTTCTCAGTTTTTAATTTAGTTATGCTTTTTTTTTGCACGTCTTTAGAATGGTAGATTTGAGGTTTCTTCACCTTTTTGAACGAACTGGGGGAGGTGGAATGATGGGGGTTTGGTCAGAAAGCTCTTTAAAAATGATTCATTGTTTAATGAATGAGACGGACAATCTATTGGAAAAAAAAAGAAGAGCTAGTATTATGAAAGTTCGGATTTGATGATACGTGGAATTAATAGCAGATGGTTACTTATATTAGCTTCGGAGTTTTCTTTCATCCTTTTGTTATAGGATTGTCATCCTCTTTTAAAGGAAACAATTAGTAGCATTGGACAATGAAATTTTTTAAAAATCACATGGAGACTATACCTTCCCAAGCTAGCAGCCTTTAAACTTTAAAAAAATGTTTTCTATTTGCTGAAATGAAATGGGAGTAGTTACAAATATCCTTGTAACAGATGATTAACTAGCCACATTTAGCCTAGGCTCCCAAATTTTAGAGATCTTTTTTTATATCTATCATCAAAAGTCTTCTATTTTTTACTTTCCAGATTCTGCTCAAACATCACATACAAACAGAAATTTCCTCTGGAAAACTAAGAGAGTAATACCAAGAGCTGTTCTTTGAAAAATGTTGCTGGTTGTGCATTTGGAAGCACAAACATGACTTTTTGTTGAGTGCTAGTGTCAAACACTGCTTTTGACACGGACATGCATTTGACACGTTTGATCTAGATACATGTTTCCCATCCTTAACAGGACGAGCCTGCCAAAACCAAAACTGCTGACCAATCCGAGAACCATTAGGCTGCATTGGGACACATGTTAAATATGCGATTTTTATTTATTTTGAACTTTGGGGACAGTGGGACGTGTGCAAAAAGCAAAACATTTTAGTAGGGAAGGAAGAAGAAATGAAGCAATATCTATCATTTTCTAATTCATTGTTGGAGATATTGATATCAAATAATTATAAAGAAATAAGGGAAATAACTACATCACTGATGATAGATAGAACTAAATGTATAGACATGTGAAGGACACTTGTACTTCCTAATTTGCCAGAAAAAAAAAAGAGAAATTCTAATTTATAGTTTGATGATGTTAGTGACAATAAACAGGCAATATCATCAGGAGCTTCTTTGTCAGTATGAGTGGAACTTAAGTTCTTCTCTCTGCAACAAAGCAAACACTAGTTGATAATTACTTGCTTATTTTACCACATAGACTGCTGATTAGGTAAATGAAAAATGGAATGACATGTAAATGAAATTTCTGCAGTAGAAAACTGGAGAATCGAAGCTAGTTTCTTTATCTTCTTTCTCAAATATGGAATATAATGATTTGTAATTATTAACCTATTAACCCATTACATCATTGATGTAACATATACTCTGCATTCTTTCAATAAGCAGCAGCATCAAAAAGTACAAATGTGTGATATGCTCCTTTCTTTTACTCGAAAGTATTTCTTCAATAAAATTTACAACTTCAGATGGTAAAGTTCTTTTGGAAGGTGAATCCTTTGTGTTGAAACTAGAAAATGGTCTGACCATATCTTGCTTGTGTGGTTCCTTTTTTTTTTCCTGACATAATTATGTCCTACAGTCGAGAAAAAATTAAGCCCGAGAAGGAACTTCAGAGAGCCATGAAGCAGATATTAAAGTGCAAACTTGGAATCCGTGATGCTCTTCGCCAGCTGCATTTGCTTGGTTCAGTAGGATGCATTGAAGACTCCGTTATTGGTCCTGATGGATCTGTCTACCATGAACATGTAAATAGTGCGGTTAAAAATATTCTATACTGAGCGTAATTTCATTTGACAAATAATTCTTTGGGTTCTTCTATGAATCAGTTAATTAAAGAAAGAACTATAGTGACCTGAATCATGTTGTCTGAAGGTAAAGAGTTCTACATCATTGTGGTTTTGGGGGCTTGGGTCTGAATTATTTAGTCGATTTGGGTTCCCCCTATGGAATTCATTACTGTTTTAAATAAGCAATGGATCGTTATGTATAGCTAATAAAACTTGGATGCGTTAAGTTTGTATCAAGATTTTCTATTGCCTAAAGTCTAATTTTTATTTTCCCTAGATATTCTGTGCAAAATGCAAGTTGCGTGAAGCTTTTCCAGATAATGATATTATACTTTGCGATGGGACATGCAACTGTGCTTTCCACCAAAAATGTCTGGACCCACCATTAGATACGGAAAATAGTAAGTTCAGCCCATATTATTCTCCTGAATTTGGCATAGTGAGCTTTGATTTGGTAGCTTATGACATTGACTTCTAAAATTATTTATATAGTTCCTCCGGGAGATCAGGGTTGGTTTTGCAAATTTTGTGAGTGCAAGATGGAAATATTGGAAGGAATGAATGCCCATCTTGGTACTCGGTTCTCATTGAACATTCGTTGGGAGGTTTGTTTCTTTGAAGATCTTATAATTAAGTTTTCCATCTTTATTTTAAACTTAGAATTTATATATGTTGTTGCTCATATTAGGTACTCAGTTCTCATTGAACATTAGTTAGAGTTTTATTGCTCGTATTAGTTTCAAAATGTAATCATAAAATCCAACCCTTCATGGAAATAGGACGTTTTCAAAGAAGAAGCTGCTTTCCCGGATGGTGGAAATGCATTACTAAATCACGAGGAAGATTGGCCTTCAGATGATTCTGAAGATGATGACTATAATCCAGATAAGAAGGAAAATGGCAACGAAAAATTAAGTGGGGAAGAGAATGATACGCATTTGCTGGAGGAGTCAAGTAGTTCAACCAGCTTGAGTTGGTCTTTAGATGGCGAGGATTTAACTGATAGAGATGGCATTGCTTGCGAAGATCACTTCGGTGTTGGTACCAGCATAGTTTCTGATGGATCCATTGAAGAGGGTATTGTATGTGGTCGCCGGCAGCGGCAGGCTGTTGATTATAAAAAGTTATATTCTGTAAGTTTCTTGACATTCTTAGACAAGTCTTAGTAAGTTTATTTTTTCCAATCCTAGAAAGTAATATTCTCTGAGTGCTCAGTGAGCAACATTGAGCACTTTGTTTGAGCTTCTGTTAACCTATAAAGATGTTAAAAAAATGGAGGTTGGATAGCTTTATCCCTCAACCCTCAAGCACCAGCGTGCCATAAATTCTGAGAGCATGGATTTTAGCTTTATAATACTTAGTAATCCAAAACATGCTCAAATATCGTTTAAGATCAAGTTGGTGAATTTATTGCAAGGAAGTGGAGGAAAATCGAAGGATTTCAGGTTTCATGTTCATATAGTAGCAAATTGATAGGAATGTGAAACCTCTAGTTCTGTTTATGTATGCTAGGAGGAAGGTAGCTAAACTTACCAAGTAGAGTTAGCAAAATGGAAAATAAAAGGAGCGCTTGATGGGTGGGACCCACTCTTTTTAAGTAATAGACAATATAATAAACTGTTATGTTGAGGGCAGGGGAGATGATATTTGACAAGGTTGGGGGATGTATAGGTAATTTTGTTAGTCAGTAGAGTCTTTTCCTTGAGAGTTCTCTTGGAGGGGAGAGTTCAGGTCTCTCGAATAGCTTGAAAACTGAAAAGTCTGTATTCTCTTGATATTTTTCATATTGATGCAAAAGGTTCCTCGAGACCCATCATAACTGTTGGAGTTATATGTTACAACTATTTGACATTTTTACTGATCTGGGTTACCCACGAAAACTACAGACGAAAATCTGATCCAACTATCCTGTTCTCATAGATTTAGAAAGAAAAGAAAGGTTTTGTGGGTGCATGCAGTTAAAACTACCCTTTAGAGTTTATGGTTTGAATGGAATTCTTGTATGTTTAATTATAAGGAAAAGGAATGGGATGAAATATAAGACTCATTATTCTTGTTGGTGTTCACTCTCAAATTCTTTTGTAACTATTCTTCCCTTGTAATTAACTCAAAATTTTTTGGGGTGCGTTTTCCGAACTCCGTAAAGGGAAATTATTAGTTTGTGCATGTAACTGTTCACTTCATTTTATTAAAAGTTCTGTTCTAAGTTGGATGAGGTTTTTTTGTGTTAAACACTGTCATATAGAATCCTCCCGAACCAATTGTGAAAGATATCTTCAATAAATATTTATAGTTGAGGTTGTAATTCCTTTTCTTCAGGAAATGTTTGGAAAGGATGCTCCAGCTCAAGAACAAGTTAGTGAAGATGAAGACTGGGGACCTGCAAAAAGAAAACGGAGAGAAAAGGAATGTGATGCTGCAAGCACTCTTATGTCTCTTTGTGAAAGCGAAAAAAAGAGTCAAGATATTGACATGGAAGCAGACAAGAAACTTCCCAACTCAAAAAGTAGATCATTTTTTAGAATTCCTCGTTATGCAGTTGAGGTCGAAGATTTAATCATCCTGTACTTTTAGATTTCCATTCAAAGTTTGTTGGAGTGCTTTTCCCTCGAAGTTAACATGTTTTCCACTTTGTGAACCTTACCAGAAACTTCGCCAAGTGTTTGCTGATAATGAACTTCCATCTAGAGACGTCAAGGAGAACCTTTCAAAAGAATTGGGTCTTGATGCTGAAAAGGTAACAACACTCCAATAAGTTATTTTTTTCAAAAGAGGAAACAACTTTTCATAAAATTTCTGAAAAATTATCAAGTAACACAGTATACCTGCACTATCAAAATTCACTTATCCCATTGAGGGTTACACCCTTCCAAAACCAAAAGAATATATATGCCTCGCAGCCTAGGAGGGTCATAAAAATGATTCTCAATTAATCCCCAATTACGAGTTGAAGTTATGTCCACCTATCTAGAATTTAATGTCCTATGAATTTATTTGTAAATCTATAGTAGGATCGAGTAGTTGTCCTATGAAAATAGTCGAGGTGTGTGAAACATATCAAGATTAAAATTTTAAAAATTCCCCAATTACATAATATTTTCTTATAAGAAAAATTACAAAATTGAAAAGATAAGGAACCTAAAAAGTTATTAAGCAGTAGAAAATGTTATTTTAAGAGTAACGTTAGCCATATTATTTAATACTGATATAGATTCAATTGAAGACATTGTTGAGCAAATAAAGATTAGCAAATTGATATTTGCATCTTCTCTTTCTACTATTACATTTCACTTGGCTGTCAATAGTTATATAATTGTTTCGTCCAAATTGCATTGTCTAATTGTGATTTATTTTCCATGGAATCATGTTGGTTATTGCATTTTTATTTACAACTTCATTTTTGTTTCATTACATGTCAATATATTATATTTTGTCATCGAGTATATGTCTTGACTTTCAGGTGAACAAATGGTTCAAGAATGCGCGATATTCTGCACTAAGAACTAGAAAGGTAAAATTAGTCTTTCTGGCTTTGTCAGTTCCTTTGCTGCTTCCGGTGCTTCTATGACATCTTGTAAATATTTAGCATTCCTCATCTTCGCACAAGATTTTTTTTGCCCGTAAATGAAGAACGTTATGTCTCTTTGGATGGAAATGGCTTTGCCTTCATAATACCAAGACTATGATCCTCATATTCTTGTACATAACAGGCAGAGGGAGCAACACAATCCCATAGTTTTAGTAAGACTTCCACGGAATTCAGATTAGCAGATTCAAAGGAAAACGCTGGTAATCATCTTACAACAGAGGACACATCAATAAAAGAACTGCAGTTGAAATCTCGCAATGGCCTTTACAAGAAAAAGCAGCACAGAAGATCATCGCTTGTATCTTTCAACAGTAACAAGGTATTGTTTTCCCAAACTCCCATAAATCCAATATTATTTCCTTTTCTACCTGTGTCCAATGCTTCTTAATAAAATATAATCAAAGATATAACAGCATTAAGGGAAATTTCTATTCAGGTGTGTCTGTCAGGAATTGTTTTTAGAAAGAAAATGCATTGAAAAAAAGGCTAAAAATTTAAGGCGTCTTCTTGTTTGAAGAACTGTTCAGAAGGACATTCCTTTCCCTTTGCTTGACTACTTTTAGCTTTTCTAAGGCATCCATATGTTAGAACTGTTATGATTTTTTTAATTAAATTATTTGCCAACACTTGAAACATAAAAAATGGTCCTCGTTTAGGAAAGCAGTTTGCAAAGAACAAAGAAACCATGTTTGCAATAGTAGACCCCTGTTTCTCTGAAACCTTTCTGAAACATGAGATTTTGTGTTTTCATAAACTGCATGCCAGATAGGAAGTAGAATTCCTGAATTAAATTATTTGATACTTCCCACCAACGTCGTCTTTGTAATAATCTTGTTCTTATCCACTGCTTTATTATTTCTTTTTTGCATGTAAAGATAATTACTTTTGGCTTCTTGAGCTGGCTTTAAAACACTGTACTGAAGCACGTCAAATGATGATAAAATAATCGTATCTCACTGCATCTGATTTAAATCCATTCAATACAGTGAATAAATACCGTGATAAATTAGCTTATATAGAGCTTAAATTACTGTAACTGATATTTATATGTTCTTTATCTTTCATGCAAGGGAAATAGTGATATATACTTTCATGGGGCTTAAAATTTACTGTATCATATATAAAAATATAAGAACAATTACAAATTGCCCCTTGTAGTTTGTGAAGCTGGAAACCATATCTTTAACATTTTTAAAGTAGTTTTCAACACCTTTGTAGTATAAATAAGGTGTAATTTGTAACTATGATAAACAGATAATTACATTGCAATTCATTGTAAAATTTTACCGAGTAGCTGATTATGTTATGGTGTAAAGAAGTATCAGGCTAGTGTTAAGAATACTTTACAAAATGTTAATAACATCATGGAACTTCTGAAATGATAATTGAAAATCCACATCATATAAATTAAGATAATTTGGATTGAAACCCACCAAAAGTGGTTCTTGCCTCTAGAATCACTTGCTACCAAAATTTCTATGGCCTGAGACTCATGTCTGGAGAAATCAAATATCTGATTGATGTGTTTTTTAACCTTTTTTTGAAGAGTGACTGATTATATATATATATAGTCATTAATACTCCTTGATTTGGTAACATGTTGACTGTGCTAGTCGAGCCTCCTCTGTTATGCCAACGCAAACTAGCAACTGACACATACATTGTATATCAGTATTGCATACTGCAAATCTGGATTCTGCAAAGAAAATTAACTGGGTACGTTTATTTGCTTTATCCTCAGGATGCTTTGGATTTTGGTGATGATATAAGCTTGAAGAATCTCCTAAAGAATAGAAAAACAAAGGTAAGGAAGAAGGTTAATTTTGTAGGTAGAAGCAAAGGTGGAGGTCAAGAAGCAGAGGTGGAGCTGGAGAGACTATGTAAAATTAAGGATAGATTAGAGATAATGAAGCAGAAAATACTTAGACTATCAAATAAGAAAGATGATGGGACTTTAGATAGGTTACACATGTTTGAACAGTCTATAATATATGTTCCTGTGGCAGTGTTAAAGGAAAAGGTTTGATCTTGTGCAGTGACTTCGATTCTTTTCCACCAAATTCAATATTAAAAGGTGGCGTCTTATGATATATCTTAATTATATGATTTCTTCCAGCTTCCCACATTGCATTCACTTGTACATTCATTTTGTTAGACTTTGGGATAATTTAGTTCATGTAAATCTTTTTTTTTTTAATAATTGGAGTTGAGTGTAAATCTTAGTTTCTGGGTCAGATCTCCTAGAGCTCAAATCTCAAGCCTTGTATAATATGATTGATCATATTAGAGAAGAGATTGATAATAAATTAAAAAGAAATGTAAACTTCTACTTGCTGGTATTTAGTCAAGTTTAAGAGCAAGTTGGGTGTGTAATTTCAGTAAAGATTTGTCTACTATATGATATCAGTTTCCCCCCTTTCTTTTGGTTCATATAATACAAGGAGTTTAGAGTATGAAAATTACATTCAAGATTGTTACATGCCAAACATTATAACAATTTTAATAGAACAAGATTTGTATCTCAATAATGTTCAACAATTAGAGTGGCATTTTCCTTCAAAGATTTCTGCAAGTGAAGTGGAGAAAGAACAAAGAAACACAATGCTCCAACTCAGGGGACACAAAAAAAAGTTGCTTGCTATTTAAATATTATCAATGGCTTGCATTTTGCAAGGAACTCTCAAGTATTGTTGCATATTTAACAGCAAAGACAAGAGCCAAGAAGATTCAGATTGATACACTGAATACTTGTTGACAAAAAATCCAAGTGGTCCTCAACCTGCTCTTCTTTGAAAAAAGAATCATAATAAGGAATTTACAAAACATAATAATCATATTCATAAGTTAAACAGAAGCCTATTTACTTTCTTTGCTCCTCTTCACCTTTTTGTGGGTGGGAGGGATCTCAACTCACCCATTTGAAGACATTAAACTGAATCATCTTACAAAAAAGGAAATATCATTGATTTACATTTAACTTTACAATGCAAAGTCATTGATTAGCATATGCAATGAAATAAAAGAAAAGGCAAAAGCACATGAATCAAATGTCATCCCAAATTTAATCAATGAGTCAGCAGTGTGCAAACTGAATTTCTCTGAGAACTATAAGCAAGATCATTACTTTTGATCACCCTACTTACACATTCACATTTTTTAGATTTTTTTTATAGAGTGGAAGTCATAAAGATCATATCAAACGTGCTTGAAACAAAATCAGGAAGAAGGAAAGAAAAAAAACCCTCAATAGACCACCCTCCCTAAATTAATTCTCTTTCGCACTCATAGTTCACAACTTCACAATTATCCACCCCAAATAGTAGTCTTCTCCCGCGACTAAATAATTATTAATTTTCTCTTCCCTTCTCAACCCCAAACTCCTACAATTATTCAAATGGAAAAGAGAGACAATCTAGCCTTCTATAGTTCCATACTTTCTGCTGTCAAAATCATATCCCAAATCCACCAGACTATTTTTCTCAAGGTAGGAATGGATTGGAAATAAACGATATTGTTAGAGTATGTTGCTAGCTACCGGTGTTCATTCAAACTTCAGCAATGAAAACAAATACAGAACTGTAAAAGATCTTGAACTATTCCAATTCCATTTCTCTACTCCTCACCAACAAAAAGCAATTTCCATTTACCCACTTTTCTCTTAAGTGATCTTCTCAAAGGGACAAAATAGACAAAAGAGCCAGCAGAAGAAGACGGTAAATGGCTCACACACCATATTTAGTCCTTCATTCGCAACATATTAGATATTACTATTACAATGCTTCAAAAAAGTAGAGAATGGGACTCAAATTTAATCTGAATGACTTGATTTTTGTAAGAGATATGGAGTTACGGACACTTGAATACTATCAAGCAGTTCTCACCATATCAAGTTTCGTGTTCTGTATCCTCTGTAAGGTTCTGCATATCACATCTGCTCTTGATCTCATCCAATTTTCCGTCTTTTGGAAGCTAACCGAGGCCTCAACTACAGAGAGAGAGAGAGGGAGGGAGGAAGAGAGAAGAATTAACATTATCAGAACCAAACATATGAAAGTTGGGAAAAAATGTGTATGGAACTTCCAGAATTAAAAAAAAAAAAAACTATTAGGAATATTAGAAGGGAAATATTAGGATATTAGAAGCCATATTAGTCTTTAACCAAGGAATGAATAGAGTAGGTTGGAATGGTATTAGTCGGATAGATTTTAGGAAATGGTTTTGGAAGAGAACTAAGCTTCTTGAATGTTTAGTATCCTTGTAATTTTCTTTGAAGTACATATTTTCACTCCTATTTTTTATTGATTTCTAATCCCTGGTTCAGGTTTCTATCAAAAAATTACTCAGGGAAGAGATGAGATGGATGCCGATAGCCAAGGTGGACCAGATGAATGTAGGAGGCTCCAACACCACTTTTTTGGATACGTAACAAATATATTAACAAAGCAAAAGCAAAGACAAGACAGCCTCTGGGTAGGGGGATGAAAGAGCCCCCTCCCAACAGAAACTAATACATTAGTGCTTTCCAATCCGGCATAATCGAGGAGAAGCTATAATGGTGTCTAAGGCACCAAAGAGATGTTGTAAGCTGCATGCCGGGGAAAAGAAGATTTTCAACATTATTGACATTCTAAGACTTAGTGAAGCAACAATAGCATTTCAAAGTAACATGAGTAAAAGCTCTATTCCCAACATCAATTGTACTCCAGAGAAGCTGAAATGATAAGCTTCCTTTCCTTCATGTAAGATTGGTGAATGGTCTTAAGTACCTTGGACCATACCTTTACTTCTTCCCATTTGGTTAGGGGTGAGCAGTTCCCCTAGCAAGGAGCAATTCAAGCTGAATTGAACAATTGGAGGAAAGTATTCTTATTCAAGGGAAGGAGACTTGTGCTAATCCAAAGGGAGATAAAGGATCTTTTAAAAGCCCTTCCAACTAACTACAGAACTAGAAAATTAGTTAGAAATTCTCTATGGGGAGTCTTGAGGGAGATAAAGGATCTGATTTGATCCATTGACATCTCTGTATCTCAGCCGTTACAGAAAATGATCTAGGTTAAGGTGAGTGTACCTTTTAAATTAAGGAACATGACATTAGTTAGAAAGTGATGAGAGAGTAAAGATTTTTTTTTCTCAAGATCCAAATCTATAATTTCTACCCACCTACAATCGCCAGCAAGGCACTAGTTTTACTAATTTGGTTCTTGGACGAAGTGTACGAAAGACTAAAGGTATTTTCATGTTTTCACAAGAAAAAAAAAAGAACAATACAAGGGTTAACTGAAAAATTACCTACGGTAAAAGCACAAGAAGAAAAACTAGTGTAAAGACTTGTACGTGAGAGAAATGACAATACCATCTCAATGTACTTCAACTGCTTTAAAACTTGGTCTGTTTCCAATTCCTGCAATTTTGTATAAGGAATTGCTTTAATAATGCTTATTGCGACCTACTATGATTAAAAATTTTTGGGATTCAATCCAAATAATATAAAGCACATGAGAGAAAAGTTATTCATTTACATGCATTACCTAGTTTTTCACACAAGTGCATTAAAATTCTGTCTTTATGTGCATTTCAAGATTTCTTGTCTTTGCAATAATGCAAAATTTGGAGAATTTCTATAAAAGAAGAACTTTTAATTACAAGTGGCAATTCTGCAGTACAGAATCAACGTAAGGATGCAGAGAGGGGATGAGGCTATTTTGATAAATAAAATGCGGAAGACAAATAATCTTTTAGGATTAAATAGATGATGAATGGGGCTAAGTGCTCTACAAAATCATGGAAAATGATGAAACACACGTGTGTGTGCTTGTTTTTATAGAGATATAGAGTAAAATAACCGACACAGTTGTGAAAGAGAGGAGAGCATTTCCCCCAAGTGATAACCAAAAAACACTATGGATGCAAAAGTGAGATGAAGAGAGCGCTCCTTAGCTTGAAAAATCCTTTGGTTTCTTTATATCCATATATTCCATAGTAAAGCCCAAATAAAATGTAACCAGATGCATTTTTTCTCTGAAAGGATGACTGATGAGGGTAGATGCTAACAAAAGAGGTATATCAGTAGGGAGAGCGACCGACCAGCCAAATAGGGACAAAATTTTGGTCCAGAGGCTTGTGGAGATCTCACCAGAGGCAAAAACATGGCCAATAGATTCACTGAAAGCTCCTCCTTTCAGTGCAGTCTCCTTTGAATATTTTCTAAATTTTTATCTTGCTCTTGCTTTATCTTGGTGTAAATGCTCCCCCAACTATAGTTTAAATGATCTTTTGACTAATTGGAGGACTTTTTGTAATCAGTTTAGTTTGTCA